CCCCAAAACCCCAAAACCCCAAAACCCCGTTTTCCATGAATATTATTGAAAATGGAAAAACGGGCATTCTCACCTAGGAATAGAATTTTTGATAACCTGTCACTAACAAGTCCACAGATAGGGTTGAAATATAAGGTACAACTATCTGCACCTACTCGCTCATTACTAAAGAATATTCATTATATCTGGGACAAAACTTAAGTCCAAACTATGGGATGACGATACAAAGTATTTTTCACAAATACATAAAATACAACTAAAATTCTAAAACTCCAAAATCCCCTCTCATAGGCGGTAATCTCCTATATCTCCATAATTTCTTCTTAAGCACCTATCTCCAGTTTCTTCTGTGATGAACAGACACAGGTTTGTAGACCAGAGATTGAAAATACTAAAGGGGTGTAGACAAGGGATTTTAGAGGAAAGGGGAGTTAGTCAGTTTTTGAAGATTTGGAAGAAAGGAGGTCGAGGAGGATATTTTAGACATTTTTTAAGGTGTATAGAATTGGTTAGTGTTGGTTTAGAGTTGTTTTGGTCTAAAATTTGAGTAGTTTGAAACTATTTTTGATGTGTTTGCTAGTTATGCTCCTGCTTAATTTTTGGTATAGAAAAATCAAAGAAACTACAAAATATAAAAGTAAAGATCTCAACTAAGCCAAAAATTAAAGATTCGCCAAAGAGAAGCAAAAAATTGCATTACTTCGGAAGGTAGGAGCTTAATTTTTTCTAACTTCCTCAAAATCTAAAATATTACTTATAATATCTTAATAGAAGAAAAGTCTATTCGATAAGTCCCCCTCCAGTGCATATGACAAAAATCCAGAACCTGGCATCTCTAACACACCAATCGAGGTTTTCCAAAGCAGGATACCCAATGGCTCTCCAAAGTCCAATCTCAAATCAAAATTTTACAGTCTGATCGCCAAGTACAACAAGGCAGAAAAAGGTGCAGATAAACTCTAAAATGGTTAATAGAAATAGCTAAGAATTTTATGGTCAGGTCCTACTTTAGGAAATGTTATTCTTACAGCCTAAGTAGCTTCATAGTATGAACTTCTTAGCATTGACTTTAGACCTCAAAAACTCATTAATCCATTCTTCATAATCTATTTCGAGATAGACACCTAATTCTTTTATAGAGATTAGAAAATAAAGCAACAAATATCAAAATCTCTAGAAGAATGAGACAGAGCCCTCTAGAAATTCTAAAATGCAGAATTCGTTCTTTGTCACCATATAAAACCCAGGTTATAGATTTTGGAGATACATATCTTCCAAAAAGATCAAATAAGAAGAGAAAAAGACAAAAAACAAAAAATAGCAAAGCTCTTAAACCTAATATTCCAATCTCTTTAGCCCCTTTGAATGAAGAAATCAGTGATACCTTTCGCTCCACGATCCAACCACCTTCTACTTCCCCCTCTAAAATATTATCAAAATGGTATTTTTCCTCCCAAAATCCCCTCATAGGGCTCACCCTCCTACACCCCTCAATCCCTTCCAAATCCACCTATAATCATTCGAATCACCCCTTACACCCCTCTGCCCACTTCCTCCACCTTCACAAACACCATAATCCAAAAATCCCTCTACCCCTCTTCCTCTCCAGACCCTCCATAATCCCACTGTGAATCCTTAATTTCAAAAAATCCCCTCAAAATCGGGGTTTTGGGGTTTTGGGGTTTTGGGGTTTTGGGGTTTTGGGGTTTTGGGG